TACCGCCTGCCCCGCCCAAGGTCCGATAGCATTTTATAAGCTTGTGTCATATTTTGCTAATGACTCATCAAGCAGGAGTACACACTATATCTGACACCCTTTGTGTTCAGCAGCAGGAGCTAAGTTTGTCTTGTGGGGATGGGTCTAATCTTGTATGGTTATTGCCCTCACTACTGTAGTCCACATTTTACAGCGTCCCTGTTCAGTCTCAGCCTACCATTAAGGGAGCATATTGGTTCACTTTTGTGGATTCAGAATTAACCCGCTCATCCTTCATGCACAGCTCTGCACAATTAGAATCGGATCCAGCAGAGTACTTAAGCACATGCTTAACTTTAATTATATGATTAGTCCCATTGGCTTTAATGGTAATGCTCACATGCTAAAACTTAAGTACATACCTAAGTGCATTGCTGGATCAGAGACTGAGCTGGGTACGTATTCTCCCTGTTCCCTTCCTCTGACACCCTTGCAAGTGACCAGTGCCAGTGAACTGAATAGAAAGACCAGTGGCTCCAATCCAGAAGGGCAAATCCACTCCAAAAACAGGGAGTTCAGTGCTGGTTCTACTTAGTTACGTTCTTTGGTCTCTCTTTGGCGGCAGCAGCAGCACCAAAATACTGCAGGATCGTTAGCCCACAATAAAGCCTGTGCTACCACGTCTACACTGCTGTTGTGACCATGCGTGTGATGTAGAATAAAGTCTACCCATGCTATAATCACACCTTCATTTGCAGTGTAGACATATTCTGTGTTACATATTCTGGATTGTTATCTGGGGGCAGTTTATCTACTAACTATAGATAGGCAGATACAGAGCACTCCTGGTGATCAAACCATTGGCACCATTTGGCAGAGGAGTAGAGTTTGCCTTCTCTGGAAAAAAAAAATCAAGGGTTTGTCTATATGAAAATTTGGTGCATAGCAAGCTGGGGCATAAGTCTACTTCAAACTAGCCTGCTGTGCACTAAGTGTTCACATGGACCCTGCTGCCGCTTTAAAACAGGAGTAGATTAAAGCACATTAGGGAACTTCTAGTGCACACCAGCAGGGTCAACATGGACCCTTACTTCACAACAATCTGAGGTGTAAATCTACCACGCACTAGCCAGGTGTGCACTGTGTTCGTCTAGACAAGCTCCAAAATGTAAGTGGCTGAGCAGAAGGATGGGTATATAGAGAGTTATAGTCAAGGTATTAATCTGTATTTCATTTCTAGATGCTATGGTGATTGGTGCCCTAAGCAAGATAAATATATCTAAGGGTGCAGGGGGAGAAATGGAAAGTGTTTCTGAGCTCCAACATGGACATGAAAGACCACTCCATCCCCCAACCACTCATCACATTTGTAGCTGTGAGTTTCAGGACAGGCTACATGTTCTCATCATCATCACCATCATCATGTTCCTATTACACCTCTGGCGTTTAGGGGAGTGACGAAGCTCCTCCACTCCAGTGTGTTTCTGGCAAGTCTTTCAATGGTTCCCCAGCTGTGCCCCAGGTTTTTCAGCTCGGCTTCCACAGCTCTTTGCCATGTTGTTTTT